CTATGCATTAAATAATAATAAGCTTACCTCCAATAAACCATAAAATTCATCCATCAAATAATAACCGTTTGGCTATTCTGTTGAAGTTGTATTCTCATACACCATACCCACAAATATATTCCAGTATTCGACAAGTGCTTATACACTTGCTTTCTAAATCACTTCCTTTTCAACATGACCCAAACGAAGCTATAATTTGGTTGGAATGTTTACCACGTATTATTTCCATGAATAAAACTTCTCAAGAATTGATTGAATCAGATTCAATCTTGCAATTTCTCGATGAATCGATTTCAATATTTTTCAAAGATCCATTTCCTCATATTGATGAGGTATCTCAAATTATCAGAGATGCTGATTCGAATGTACAACAGACTGATATAATGGAGATTGATGAATTGCGGATTGCTAAAGATATTAGCATAGTTTTAGCAGAAAAACTGTGCAATATTTATTATAACTCAAAAAATGCACCCTTTTCATATCCGTTCAGTCCACTTTTGGCGGTTGTTATGAAACAATATCAGAATATGAAACCTATCACTGTTGGAGTCACCTCGTTTTTACACAAACTATTTAAAAATTTACTGAATAAACAAACTACACCATCATATTTGCATGTTTATGTAAAACGACTAAATAAAATAATTGAGAGTTCTTTGGATAATTTGGATCAAAAGAGCCATTGGGACGCTAAGGATTATATTGGGAATTTAGAAATTTCTTTTCAGCAATATTCTGATTCACACAATATTAAATGGCATAATAATGAAGACAAATATCAAAAAATAATTGAAGGTAATTTTATTTAAATATTAGGGACTTTTTAGCTTATTAACAAATTTATTAAATATTTATTATTTTTAGATTCAAGCCTTAGCAAATTAGATTTAGCAAGGATCAAATTTCTTGAATTAATGTCTAGTATCCCACCACCAATATTGAATTATCTTACTGAAATAGAACTATTTCAACTTTTGAATTGTATTTTAGATATCAACATTTTTGATCCTTTTTACTCATTAGATGAGACTACTATCAGGCGTTACATGACGTTCTTGTCACTTGTATCCAAGAATATTATGAAGCAAGGTTCGGGAATGCGTATTACAGATAATTGTTTTAAAAAATTACTGTATCTATGGCAAAAACAATCTACTTTCGAATTGGATACAGTGATATTACAATTTATTGAGACATATATGCCACCTGGTTTAATAGATAATGAGAATGTTAAATATTTTCAATTTACAGGAACGCCAAATCATCTTTTATTGATCAAGAATATTGATTCAAGTGTTGTACGATTCATTCTTGATAATTTGAACGCTTTTAAAGCCAAGATATTATCTTGTCTTATTATATGCAATTCTGAAATTAGGTTGGAATTTGTTAATTTGATCTTATTTAATCCACAATTATTAGAATCAATTTCCTTAAAAGACTTTATAATTATTGTTTCGGTATTTATTGACATTATATCATCAAAAACACATTTGCAAATCAATTGGTCACCAGTTGTGACTGAAAACGATAAGAATGCCATCAAAATGATATCCGACAAATGTGCACTTCGGTTTTTTCACAGTATAACGACATCTTATAAGGAAAAGTCGCCATCAATTTATGCTAATGTTGTCTGTGCATTGATGAGTTTAAGTTCACCAGTAGACTTGATAGAAGCTTTGAAATTTTCTATTAAAAATGGATCTTTCAACCTATTTAGTTTGGATTATTTGAGTATAATTGAATGTCACTTGACTGACAATATTAATGATTATGATGAACAGGAACTTAAAGTATTCATTTCTGGTTGTCTTCATCAAGCAACTTTATTTATGGAAAATGACATTTTCAAAAATTGTAGTGAAGAAGTATTACAAACCATTTTTAACAAAATTGGTAACAATAAGAATTAATATAACATTTTTTATTAATTGTAATAAAATATTAATCATGATATTATTATATATTTAGATGATTTGATAAAATTTGTTCCGAAGTCAACCAATCTGGATGCAAACATTATTGGAGAATTCATTTTTGTTCTTTTGGAAAAAAAAATTGAAGAGCCAACAATTTTGAAGTGTATAACATCATTAATTATTTCTGCATACAATAAAGAGGTAATTATAAGAATTTTCTTGTTATTATAAAATATAAAATGATGGTAATAATTTACTTATAATACCTATAGACAATCTTTGGACCTTCTTTGGACAAAGTTGTTGAAGCTATCATCAATAATCCCCAATTTAAAGTATTATGTGATGTACCAGAGTTATCACAAAAGGCTGACAAATGGCAGACATTCCTAAATAGATTAGCAATAAATAATTTGTTGAACACGGTGTTTCGGATCCATCCTAAAACATGCTGTAAACCTTCATATTTGAACATTCTTTTATCACATTATGGTGCTTCCGCTTCACTTGCCGACCAATTGCTCCTCGATATATTCATCTTGTATGAAAAATCATCTAATACTTCGATTATATCCAGTGCCATGATGTGGGGTCCCGAATCAGCCCGTCAGATTGACAGAAGAGGCCTGATGGGACAAAGGATTCTTGTTGAATCATTAGATTTAATCGATCCTATGATGATGATGCGAAGTTATACACATTTCCCAATTGATAAAGAATTGGAAGTATTTTTGAATACAATTGAAATCGTATCTTATTTGAAAAATGATATAACCAAAGATCCTACTAAATGGGAACAAGATTTACCAGTATACGATCCATCATATTTCTTACCATTATTCGCAAATTTGTTATCGTATGGAAATTTATTGGATGTTAGAAAATTCATTGAAATCAACGCGTTGGGATTTATTGTCGTTTCATTATCATCTACTGTGGAAAATGTGAGGAGAGCAGGTTATTATTTGATGGATGAATTTTATGGTTTATTGGAGGTAAGCTTATTATTATTTAATGCATAGCGTTTCATATATACTTATCATGTGATTTAGTGGTTTATCTATTTTGATATAGCATGCTGCTTTTCGGGAGAAGAGTCAAATATTGTTGTTACTTAACTCATTGAAGAATTCAATCGTGGATCGTGATAATGAAAATAAGCTACTTCAACGAATTCCTACAATTATTTCAGTATTTATTGCTCATGCATTGAATATTTTTACGAATCCTGCTCATTTCATGTATCCAATAATTAATAAGTTTTTGTTACAAAGACCGATATTGGATTTAGAGGTATGAGAACTTTTGATAATTAAATTTACATAAATGTTGATTATTAACTTTAATAAATATAGGATGTACCGATGTTTTATAATTTATTTCATACGTCTTCCAAGAATTATCAAAAAGAAAGAGTGTGGATTTTGAGACTTTTGTCTGCTGGATTAAAAAATAATGAAGTAATTTCTTTGATTTAAAATATTCTAATTAATTTCATTTTAATGTTTATAATGTTATTCATTTGACTGTTCATTAGGATTATAAAATCTTTAGAAGAAGATATGTATGGGATGTTATTTCTAGTTATTATAATTCATCTCTTGCTGATAATATTAGTCGTAAACTTATCATCGAGGTAATTATTTAATAAACTTATATGTTAAAATAAGAATTAACAGTTATTATCACCTTGATCCACTAATAATGAAATATGTGTGTATAGATACTGTTCCGATCAGCATCCATTCCACAAGCTATCACTGACATGGTCAAAAACAGAGGACTTTTAGCCTGGTTACATAATTTATGTTTTGCATTGCCACATTCTCCATCTGTGAATGAACCAGCATTTTTTGGAATACGAATACTACTTCGGGTATTACAAGGTTGTAAGAATTCGACGTTGCAATGGTCAAAAGGTGTTCTGATAGATCAAGCCATAATGATTTTGTCTAGCATATTAAAATCCTTCGGTATATCTTTTATTCATATTTTTTTTTTTAACTACACAAGTCACTCTTGGTATAGTAAACTCTCGATATATTGTATAGCAAAATTAAGCACGAAACCGATCTATATAAAATTTCCTCATTACAATGGATTTACTAATAGAACCCTCGACATAATGAATCTTTTGAAAATTTTTAGGATTACTTAATTATAAAGAGAGTGACTTGTAGTAAATGCGCATCGGGAAGTTAAGGATTTGTAGTATTAACACTTTATTTATTAGATTTAAATATAGTGAAAGAAGAAACGATATCATGGACACTTAATTACCTTAACGCGATTATTCAAACTTTTCATTATCTTATGTTAATTTCACCAACTCCTAATCGGGTTTTCACACCGTATCATATATCATATATTTTACCGATACTTGAAAAATGTGAATTACATCTCAAATCAAAACTAATTACCGATGAAACACCGAAATCACCTATAAACATAGTTCATAATTTATATCCTTCATTAACAGATAATTTAGAAGGACTATACATGTTTGACACCAATTCAATTAGAGTTTATAAACAAATTATAAGAATGTTATTTGAAATGGTTACTAGTAGTGGTGAACATGATATAGAAGTGGTGAATAAGGTTGTATATAGAGCATTGTCTATGGATGTTTCAACTGAAGCGAAGATATGGACGATCGCATGTATGGCAGAGTGTAGACAATGATTGATATTTATGTCATAAAATTTTTTTTAAAAAAAGAATTTAACAAATTTGAAAATTAATTTATGCAAATAATATTTATAAAATCTATATCTTAATTCTCTGCATTTATGCAATTTTCTGTTGGACATCTTTATATCCATTTCTCTTTAAACACAAATTATTTGTTTATGTGAATTAAATGAAAGAATTCATTCACACTATTCTTCGATATGTCTAACTCATTGTGTCTAGTTACATAAATTAAAAAAAAATCTTTTTAAGCCTATCAGAAACAGCATATAAATAGAGTTTTTTCTTTTCAGAGTAGTTAAAGATTTACCTGACTAGTTTACGATTCTTATATGAGTACTGCCAAAGGAAAAATCTGGAATTGAGTTTTCCGAACTCCGTTTAAAAGAAACAGGCTTATCAGACACATGATTTATTAAATAGAACAAGGAAATTTTTACTAATAGTATATACATTTAGTTTTACCAGTAATTCTCATAAAAAGATATTACACTTCATTAAGAGTAGGGTGAGTGGCACGATGCCACTTATATGTTATTCCAAGTATACATCATATGGGCCAATTTTTATAATTAGTAATAATTTTTTATCTACAAGTTTATTTTAAATAATTTTATTACCAAATTAATCTTCTCAATGAGAACAAGCCCAAAAATCATTAAAATCCAATTACAGAATTACAAGTTATTACGTATTATATACAAGTTATTACGTATAAATTAAATAAAATTTTAATTATAGTAATAAAAAAAGGTTGATATCCTGTATTGTCATACCGAAGGTTTTGGATTCTGCGTCCAGTCGTTCTATCGTAATGGTAATGAACGTCAACGGTTACCGCGTCCGGATAGGTTGGAAACCCCTAAACCGTTGACAATCCAACCTCCAGTCAGTATCGAACGCGGGATCAATCAGTGATACCAATGACAATCCCACGCTCTAACTGTTAAGCCAATTAGGATGATCACTAAAAATTTTTTTTATCAGATGTTTAAAACCAGTAATTGTGTTACATAAAAATATATATTTGGGTTGAAAATTGATCTTGTGATTATAGTATTCATAGTTAACATAACTTCGTTGTTAGGGTTGGGGCACAGAAAATTCTCATATAGAGTATAGTATAACACTCTAAAATATTACATGAAAATGATTAGTAAAATATCACATGTAATTTATGTGTTAATTTAGCATTACAATTTTATGCTTATGTGATGATTTGAAATCATGCTTTGTATTCCAACCTTACTTATTGTATCTAATATATTAAAATACAAATGTGTGTAATAGTTGCTTTTTTCTGGATCAGTCTAAATAATAAAAAACTCACGAAACAAGTATAATAAAATTAAGATCGAGTTTATTTTTTTAGAACCCTATCATTATTATATATCTGGAAATTGCTACTATAATTTTTAATAAATTCATTTTTCCTAAAGTATCATGAGGGTTAAAGAGCTAATATTAAATATAAATATTATATAAATACATATTATATAGTTACTGTATTGCATGCTTTATATACACTAACTACTGTATTTTATGTTTTTTTCTGATCTGGCAGTACTGGCTGGGTTACCAATCAATCATCATCATCTATAAAATACAGCAGTTATTGCATACTAAGTATGCAATAACTATATAATATGTATATATATATTATTTAAATTTTATTAGATAAATCTCTATTTACTTATTGTATATACTATATATATATATATATATACAACAAATAGAGTTGGGGCATGAGCCATGATTTCAAATCATCACATGGGTATGAGGTCATAATACTAAATCAACACATAAATTACATGTGATATTTTACTAATTATTTTCATGTGATGTTTTAGGGTGCTATGTTATATCCAGGAACCCAGAAAAATTTTAATTTGATTTGGCAAAAATTTATTTTAATATAGTCAAAATTTTCGATTTATTTCGATTTACCTGATCAACTAATCAAAATGCAGAATCAGGAGTAATATAATTAGGATCTGAAAATATTTTTTTTAAAATTTGCCAATTTAATAAATCAAAGGTGTTTTATACTCAATACTAATAATAAAAAAAAACACATTAAAGAATAAATATATCAATATTAATAAATCAATTTTATTTATTTATTTTTAAAAGGGTGCTGGTATTCGTACCCCCCAAATTTGGTATTTGTACCCCCCAGCAAAAAATAAAAATTTTTAAAGATTCAAG